TAATGTGCTGTCTGATGAACGTGGAGCTCAGAGAGAGAACACATTTAGACCAAAGACAGGAACTGGAAGTCCCAGAGACCTGACGCAAAGCACAGTAAGTGTAGAACAGCAATTCCCAGAGTCCCATATTAAAACACAGTTGAAGTAGAACAACAGGCTACAGTGTCCAATAGGGATAACTGGTAGAAACAGAATTACAAGTCCTGGGAAATGGAGTCACTGTCCAAACATTTGTCCCAAAGAACCTCTTTATCCAGTCCAAGGCAAAACTGGAGGATTCGAAGCAAACAAAGTGGCTGCCTTGAGCCCCTCTCATCACATGATCTTTATCTACTTAAGTCCCAGAGTCCCATGAAATCAAAGGGAAGGTGAGTACAAGTAGCTGGGGCAGGGGTGCTAAACCTTGGCCCTTGGAACCCTCTGATGTGGCCATCCACCTCAAACCAGGTGAACTTCTATTATCTCCTGTGGGTTTGGTGACTTTTCAGAAAGTGCACCACACCCGCAAGATATGATAGAAGTCTATGAAAAGTGCAGCTAACCTGCAGGAAGGTCACAGGTAAACCACAGTGCATCAGTGTGAAAAAAGCTTTATAGGGGGCTCAGGACAGTTAGGGCTCATCTACATTTGTGGTTTAGGGGGTGACGCATTTTGACTACTCCTCCCCAACCATTGGTGTACTGTCAAGGGTCGCAATGGTGATCCTGCTCCATGCTCCAGGGGGCCCATACGGTCTCCATGTTCCATTCTTTTTAAACTTGGACAGGAGGGGTGGCATATACAGGAACTGATCCTCTCCATTTTCCTTCTGCGACTGCCAGCTATTCCTCCTCTCCTGCCCATCAGCATTCATGGGCTGCAGGAGGAAAATGTTCATTATGCTATTTAAAATTTAAAAAAAAATTCTAAACTCAGAACCATTTCCTTTCATTGTGGCCTGCGACCGGTCATCAAATCACTTAAGTGGCCCTCATTATCACATGTTAGCCTGCAGTTTCTTGTTTGTGTATTCTTACCTCCTTGCTGCAGTGCAGTTCCTGATCCCTTTTTACATGTGTGTTTGTCTGTGCTCATCTGTGGGCGTCTTCTGCTGTTCTCTGGGTTTTATTTCCTTCCCTTCCATCACATCCTGGCCCACCTCCTTGTTTGCCTGCCTATATAAGACATGCTCAGACTAGGCCACTTTGCCTGAGCAACTTCCTAGTTGTCTGAGCTCCTTTGTGGTGCTATTGCCTGTATCCTGCATTGACTACTTGTGTACCGACATCGGCTTTGTTCTCTGACCTTGCTTGTTTTCCGCCTGTCCTGACCTCAGCCAGCCTATTGGATTTCCGTTTGTCTCCTCCCATTGTATTCTGCTCCTGCGAGCAGTCTCCTCATCATCAGCTGGGCGTACCCGGGGGACGCAACCTGATCCCAGCTTGCTACAAGTCCATCCCCACCATCAGGGGTTCTGGTGAAGAAGCAGGCTGGGGCTTAGACTCCTGGAGAACCCCAAGTTGAGTATCTACAAGGGCTCATTACCACAGGTGCTGACACATTCTTCAATAGGTTGAGCACCCCTGAGCTGGGAGAACAGGAATTCAAGTAAACTTGCTGCTTTTCCCTGCATGGGCAATATACAGGTTTGCTTTAAGTACAATACAAATAATATGTTATTATACAATAATAACCAGTACACCCCTACACTTTTGTTTATGTGCTATTTTATTAAGTATTATTAAATTTTATATATTCCATATGAAAGTAGATGCCTATTGTTGGCTTAATGCAGAAACAATCAAGCAATCCTAATTTTACAGATAAAGAAGTAAATAATTTAGTAATGCTAGTTTTCCTCTCTCTACACCTTCTCAGCTCTCTACAATCTAGCCTAGTGCTGGTTGCTAGAGATATTGGGGCTGATTTACTAAAGACAAATAGGCTGTTCACCTTGCAAAAGAATTTTCCCTTAGCCTAGTAAACGTGGTTGAATACCCAATCACAGGCAATTTTTTTGTTTTTTAATCAATATTTTTGCTTGCACATGATTCAGCAGAGCTTCGCCTCATTCACTAAGCTAAGGAAAAATCCCCTTACAAAGTGAAGAAGCTTATTTACTAAATCAACCCCATTGGCACCAGTCAGTTTCTATCCACAATTTGATGATCTGCCTGCAGTTACATAGTAGGAGGATGGAAAAATTATCTGAATTATCTGTAGTAAAGAGCGGAGCTATAATGCTGTGGCTGAGCAAAGTCGATTTTTTGTATTAAATGGAAGACAGCCCCATGTTGTAACTGGAGAGGATCATGGAGGATATGGAACAGTAGGAAGGGAAGAATGTGGCAATCCTGCAACATCCTTTCAAGGAGCAAAGGCAAACCAATCCAGCATTTTGTCTTTTGAACACTGGAAAGAAATATGATTTTTGAAGACAAACAAGGGCTAATCAGGGTATTTAAAAATATATGTTGGGGGGCAATTATATTTGCTACATGTTTTGTATTTTCCTCTAGCTGAATCCATGTATGTGTATAGGTTGATTCAGATAAGAAGCACCCATTCTATGGCCAATTCAACTATAAATCCAAGACATAAGATTGACTGTGCCCAAACTCCGCAGCCCCGCAAGCTTTCATAAGGCTGCCCTTAAGACTTGGGACCCCTAAGGGACTCATGTGCTGTTAATCTTTTTCATTCAACGTTTGATTTTGCTGTGTCTCATTTTTTTTCTCTTTCTATAAATATAGATTTAATTTAGTCTTTCGTTCTATAAACATTCCCCAGATTTCCCCTCTGGGGGATTTTGAATTAATTTGCGCGCAGCCACGCTTGAGAGGCCTGCTGCAGTTTCTATGCCTGTAGTTAGAAGCAGTTTGGGGACACTGATAAGGATTTCAATAAGACCATTTTGCCAGAAAGAGGTCACTTTATCTCTTTCAGACTGCTGCAGCCTGTATTTTTATGATGGGAAAGAACCAATTTCCTCTACATCTCGATATCTAATCTTTATGTCATTTTACACGAAATATTTAAACAAAAGAGAGGTACCCAGACAAGAAGGGATGCTGAATGGTGTCAGAGGGGAGGAATAATGACAGCAGTAGTATAATATTACTCATACAGGCAGTCAGTAAAAAGAAATGAAGCAAGTGATTGTCTGTGGGTTCGTATGTTAATGTTTGGAAGCCTGAATCATCCATGCTTGTTGAGCACCAAGCATTACCCAGAATAGGATAGATTGGTGACAAGGAGGGAAAAATATGTTGAAAAATGGAATTACTAGCACTTTTATGAAACTCCAAGGCCAGCTAAAATAGAGGTCACTGGATGTGTCAGACTACCTGATATAACTACCTACTTGTGGTTGTCGTTTCTTAGTTTCCCTGCTGTAGCTTGTGTATTAACATTCCTCCAAATGTGCTGGAAATCTGGCATTTTGGAGCATGGTTCTTTTTTTTGCTTTGAACAGCTGTAAACTCCAGTAACGAGATGCTGCTATAAAACAGTTGGTGATTCAACCCATTGTTGTACACGTGGACCTTTTTAGGATGACTTAAAGAAGAACTAAACCTTCCCACTCTTTACATTCAAGGAAGCTGCCACTTTAACCTCTGTTTTGATCTGCAGTTGCCATGAGGCTGCACATGTGATCAGTTACGACACCAGACGTTTGATGGCTTGACAGTTCAGTTGAAAGCACAAGCAACTTTGAAAGTTAACATTCATGGCTTTTGAGAAACAGTTAAAACAGCCATAGATGGTTAGAGTCTCGCCTGGTTCAGCAGGGACTGACCAAGATTCGAACCATCTATAGGCAGGCTGATTGTACCCAACTCGATTGTTGTACAACTTGGGTCAGATTTTTCATGCACTAGCAATAATTACTGTGTTCATCATCTCCCTTGTGCCCCCGTCCCCCCCGCCAGGAGAACACAATAGCTCCACAGGAGGGACTTGAGCAATTGTAGGTTGCAGGAAAGAAAACCGCATCAACTATGGTTGGCTTAAGTCGATGGGTTTAATTGCAAGAATAAACATGTTTATTTGTTCACCAGTCTAAATACTTCAGGGCCTATAGGTAAAAGTAGGACAGGGAGAGGTAGAGAGATGCAGAATGCAGTAATCAGTAACAAGCAGATTTCTTTTTACAACAGTTATATCAGTTAGCAAATAGTTTCAGTTTAATGCACTTTAAACATCATTATGGTTCTTTGCATTTACTGAATGTGCTTGATTGCAAGTTTATTAAATGATTTTATTTCACCGCTTCATTTACTTCCATGCATATAGCTCCTCCGCTGAGACTAAGATGTGGTTTTAAAATTCTGTATTAATCCATGAATGTAATGAATTATTAAATGTGATTTATTATCTATTGTAGATAACTATCTATTTAGGTGTAAATGTGTGATGTGGAAAGTGCAGGAACCAAAGCAACAAATCCAGTTTCATCTTTCACAAGTCATGATTGTATAAGCTATTATTATAAGTCATTATTGTAGCCACAATAAGCTGATGTCTGCTTGATTGGTGTGCTGTATTCTACTTTGCATACACGCTTTGTACTTTGGCCTATCCTGTCAAATTTACATGTATATGTATGTAAGAAATAGTATTCATAAAAAAAATGTAGATAATACAGACATCTATTTGCCATATAAAGGCACATACAGTACTTTTTATATTTTAACAGAAAAATAATTGTGCACACATGCACTAGTATTTCTTTTTTAATGGAATATTTAACACAAGACCGCAATGCAAAACTAGATAATGTCAATTTAAGTAGAAATAGAAAAATCATACGAAGTGTCTAATGGAATTAACTGAGGAAGTTTTAGTTATGACTTCTTGACAAAGTCTGATCCTTTGCATATCATAGACCAATATAAAACTGTATAAGCAATTACTGTTATTTCATAGCACAGTTTTAAACAAGTCCAGACCCAGACCTGCTTACTTGAAGAACTTAGAGGACATGTTTTTATTCTGCATTGAAGTGACATTTGCTTCTTCTGTTGCAGGTGCTCCTACTCATGGTGGTCCATTACTGGCTTCTCTAGGGATTCCCACCAGACCAATACAGACACACTTGGACATTAAGCATCTTCTTACATTCAGGATCAATGGAGTCTCTCCGCTTAGCCTCTTTCCTAACTTTAATGCAGTAAGTCAACCCCAAAATCTATCTGTATATTATATAGCTCTGTATCCCATTTTGATGTCTAAAAATTTGTTAGCATGACATTTTATTTACTTTTGCCAGACAAAAATAGAAGATGTTTTCAATGCTTAGCATTCATTCAACTTATAGTGAAGGCATTGTCTATAGGGGAGAGAAGCACGCATTTCTCCTGCTTCACAGTCCAGAATAAACAAAAAGCTAGAATTCATAAAACATAATTGAACACAGAAAGTGACCCCTTAAACTAATGTGGGATCATCTAAAAAGACAGGTCCAAGCCTTAGTCTCCTCTAGTGGTGATTTGGCTGGCTTGTATGTCCAGAGTAGTGTTAGCCACACTCACATGGAAGAAAAATATATTTTAAATATATTTAAAAATATTCTTCCCAAACAAATTGACATATATTTGAAATACTAAAATTTTTTTCCATTTTCAATATATTTCAAATTTTTCAAAATATATATCAATAAATATATATATATATATATATATATATATATATATATATATGTTGAAATGCATTTGTATTACAAAATATGTGAAAAATATTTTTAATACATTTCAAATATACTTCATGTCTTTAAAAGTACAAATCTACATTTTGACTTTGTCAGAATATATTTAAAAAAAATTTATTTAAAAAAAATATTTTTCATATATTTTTGTAATATATAAAAAACACATTTCAACATGCTGTTTAAAAAAGTTATTTTAACATATATTTTTACATATATTTGTAAATGCATTCCAAAAATGTAGATTTGTATTTTTAATGATCATACAGTATATATTAAATGTATTTTTAAATTGTAGTATTTCAAATATATGTCAATATATTTGGGAAGAATATTTTTAAAATATATTTCAAATATATTTTTCTTCCATATGGGCAAGGCTCATACTTTCTAAATGAGTATTTTTTAATTGATGGTAGTGGTTGTTTTGTACTCTGTGGTCAATTATTGCCATTATTTTTAAATAAATAAATTACTAATTTTTACCTTTTTTGCTTCCCAGTATTTCCAATTCATTGCAGCCACTTCTTGTCTACCTACGTGCATCCCAGCAATGGTTTTATGGCATTCTCTAGTGCAGGTTTCCTGATGGTGACAACAGTGGAGAATAATGGCTGATCCAGGTGCTAGTACAGGCTTCTGGGTGTGTCCTGACTATATGGTCGGGATCTTTTCAAAGCCTGAACTGGCTTTGTGATGTCAGCAAGTGGGATTTTTGTCCTGGGTCACAGGACAGCAGAACGAACTACACTCCTGTGATCCCCAGGAGACGTATAGCCAAAAGAGCTTTGGCTTTACTTCTCCTTTAAAATATAAAATAATACAATGATTAATAAATCAGCGTGTCCTCCAGAAGATTTCACATGACCAGTCCATTTTTTGTGATATGGTACTGACAATTGTGCATCATGCAATGAAATTGATGTCATTTTATTTTTTTACACAAATAGAGCTTTCTTTTAGTGGTGTATGATTAACTCTTTTTTTTTGCACTATAAACGAAAAAACACCAACATTTTAAAAACAATATTTTTTACTTTCTGCTATATAACATATCCAATAAAAAAAAAATAAAAAATAAAATTTCTTCATAAATTTAGGCCAAAATGTACCCTGCTACATATTTTTAGTAAAAAAATCCCAATAAGCGTATACTGATTGGTTTGAGCAAAAGTTATATAGCGTCTACAAATGTCGGTATATATACTGGAATTTTTTTTTCTTTTTTTTTTTCAGTCTGACACTAACTGACACTTTTTTGGAACCAGTGACACTAATATAGTGATCGGTGCTAAAAGTATAAAGTGACACTACTAATGACACTGGTTTGGAAAAGGTTAAACATCTAGGGCAATCAAAGGGTTAATCGTGTGCCTAGACAGTGTTTTTGTGTGTATAGGTTGCTGTTTTTACAAGACAAGCTGCTAGATTTCAATCCCTGAATAAAATCTAGCAGATTGCCACTGACAGAACACAGGTCTTTCTCCTTGGTGAACAACAGGTGCTCATCCATTGGCCGGCATATGTCGATCGTCTTCTGTATTGTCCAATCACAGTAGAATCAGTGCTCTAGCAGCAGGCACGCCCCCACCCCAGTGGCGGAAATGCAAAATTGCATTTGCACAGGACGTCCGCCCTGTAGCAGTAAATCTGCTATAAAGTGCAGATGGAAAGTGTATATACATTACTGGAGTGCAATATGTGCACTATCACTTGCATGTAAACACGGGACACTGATGGAGGTATCTAGCTTTTGCGGATGATGTTGGCAATTACAGTCAGTCAGAATGAAAATATCTAAATGTTAAGTATTAACCACTTCCCGTCTGGTCCATGTACATAAATGACTGGACCAGAGAATTGCAGGAGCGGATGGCCATTTATAAACGCCCTCAACGCTCACCGCCTGTGCGCATTCCCTGGGATACCGATCGCTGTACGGGACATCTGTGTGAGGTCCCGATTCATGTGATCACTGATTGGCCAATCAATGATCACATGAATACTAGTAAACAAGATGTCACATCCTGACATCATTGCTTACAACGTGTGAAATCTGTGAATGATCACAGAGGTCACATGGTACAAGGCTATTCAAAAGAGCCTTGTACCATGTGACAAGCTGTGACCAATCACAGCTCTTACAGTATTTCTCAAGGATTGCAAAAATTCAGCCAGAGAGAAGGAGAAATGATTGCTTATACAGCCTTTATGGGTGTAAAAGCAATCAGTGTAAAAAAAAAAAAAAAACCTTCATCACCCCCCACAAGTAGTACAGCGTCACTATGGTTGCACTGTACTGCTAGGGTGACAGTATGTAAAAAAAAAACCCATAAAAAATAATATACAAATATTAAATAAAAATGTCAAAATATTTTTAGAAAAATTATAATTTTTGGCTATAAACTAATTTGGATTATTTTTTTTTTTACTGAAAAGATAGCTGAATACATTTTGGCCAAGATTTATGAAGAAAGATTATTTATTTGCAAAATTGTATAAGAAAAACACTTTTTTTTCAAAATGTTTGGACTTTTTCATTTATATAGCAAAAAAATAAAAATCCCAGTTATGAATAAATACCACCAAAATAAAGTTTTATCTGTCTTAAAAAAAATGCTAAAAAATTAATATGGGCACAGTATTGCATGACCGCGCAATTGTTATTCAAAGTGTGATAGCGCTGAAAGCTGAAAATTGGCCTGGGCAGGAAGGGGGTGAAAGTGTCCGGACTTGAAGTGGTTAAACTACAGTTGACCACAGGTTCCCATAAACTCTTCTAATTTCAGCCTCTATATAATGTGTGCCCCATGGTAGAGGCACATCATTGCACCAGAAGTGGGAATATAAATCTATGTTATGGAAGCTACAAATGTGTGTATATCTTTAACCCCTTTGGACAGAAATAATTTCTGAAGATAGACTCTTGCATTAAGCTTTAAAAACATAAGACAGAGAATCGAGTCTTTGTTGGATGACTTTTCCAAATCTGTAATGCCAGCATTGTCCTTGCTTCTGGCCTGAGGCTTAGCAAGATTATCTTATCTCCTCGGTGACTGTCAGGAAAGAGGTTGCACTTTAAGGCCGATCGTTTTTCTTTGCAAAACTATTTAGCCATAGAGACAGGTGCATCTGTCTTCAAGGCACTAAGCTGGGGGGGGGGGGGCGAGAAGTGTTATCAGGGCCCCTAACTCCATTCAGAGGAGTGAGCTGCATGACAATGTGTGATGATTAATGTGCTGTCTGGAATTCCAAGTTCTGCTCAACTGCAAAGCCCAGCTTATGACAGACAGAGCTGTGTGCAGAAAGTACCAATAAGGACTGCTGGAACGGGAGGAGAGAGGACCAAACGCTGATAGGATTCAACGTATTTCTCTGCATACAGTTGCAGCCAACTGCCTATATGGATCAATGACAGGCTGACAGATGCTGTGGCTGCATGAACACTCAAGTAGTTACATGTGTACATGAACAGGGGAGTGGCGTTGGATGCACACAGATTCTATCCAGGGCTGCTCATCCATCCCTGTATGCATGTAAGATGTGCTGTGCTCTGTCTGTCATTAGCTATACATTATATACTGTTTTAAGGAAGAGGCCCTAGAGAAGAAAATGGTGGGTTTTGCAATTTTTTTAAATCACATGGAAATTTAATGGTTTTCAAACACAATTTTTTGGGGAAAAATACACTTTCATGAATTTGAATGCACAATAAACACGTGTTTTTGGTATAAATATAAAAGATGATGTTACAGCGAATAAATAGATACCTAACATCATACTTTGTCACTCGTGGAACAGCGCCAAACTATAGTACCTAAAAAACTCCACAGGCTATGCTTTAAGGTGTTACCAAACCCAGAACAGTAAAATCAGTGCAGTAAAGCATGCTTGTTATACTCACTGTGGAACCTAAGGGGTTAATCCTCTGCAAAAATGCTGTTTGATCCTGACTTCTGTGATTCTTCCCTTCTTCCAGTGTCTCCCTCTTATCTCCTGATAAGACATATCGTGTGGAGTCACTCTGCACATGCTCAGTTTGGTGTGTATTGCTAGAGAGTTTTTTCTTTTCTTGGGAGAGTGCATATGATCAGCACAGGGCCAATCAGCACTGCCCAGACAGAGTTCAGGGGTCCTGCATCCATAGTTCCATAGTTAGTCTGGCTGAAAAAAAAAAACACAAGCGTCCATCCAGTTCAACCATTTAAAAAAATAAATACATTTTATAAATGGATGAGTCCACCTTTACATCAGGGTCCCCAGCAGAGTCCCTCTCTTACATCAGGGACCCTCACAGTCTCACTTATTTTAGAGTCCCCCCTCTCATAAGGGCCCCATCAGAGTCCTCTTACATCAAGGTTCACATCAAAGTCTCCCTTACATCAGAATCCTCCAACCCCCAAATCAGGGTCCCAATCAGAGTCCCTCTGATATCAGGGACCCTATCAAAGTCCCCCCTCACATCA